TTTCCCTCGCGGTATCCTTCCTACTAGGCGGGCTAATCACTGGAGCTTGGTCCTTTAAAGGAATCTTCCACGGAAAAACATCGCCTCCATTCCTACAAAAAAAAACGATACCTTAGGCCCCTTGCTTCATGAAGATAGCAAAAAGAACGGAACATAGGCGATGGTTTTGATAATAATTATGATAACCAGTTCGACTATGAAAATTTTGAATTCCCGCTGTAAAACTTCCACAACTGTTAGCGGCGTGGAGTCAACACGTGCAAACGTGTCAAAAGCGTGAACGTGAACAGAATTCATGTTGGGCCCTTCCCATAAACTGACACGTGGATCCGCACCTGCCATGCACTTCGTCACAGAAGCACTTCCGGTCCCGCCTACTGGTCCAATCCGGTCCCACAGATGGGTCTTTCCAGAGGCTGTTTCTCTTGGGGATTTCATCATTTTCGCTCCGAACTTTGCACATGGTCTTCACTGACCATGCCCAACAATCTACACAAGGAAAGGATGAGCAGTCTTTCCGTGGAAGATTCCTTTAAATCACGTTTTGCGAGCACGGGTTCTCTTTATTGCTGTCGAAACCTCTGCTGCATGGGCAGCGTGCCATCAGACAATGACATTCGTTTTTGCCGTGCCATCTAGCGTTTTGGACCATCAACTTTTCTTCAAAAGGCCATATTTTATAGAATGCCAAATCCAATTAAAAACAGCGATCCGGTTTTGATGACGTCATTTGCTAAAAAGCGGTGAAAGCGGCTTCAATCACACCTTAAAGGCAAGAATCAGGATTAAATTGATGGGGTACCACTCAAATGAGAAAGTAGGGAAGGGAGGTGGACCGTCAGTGGAGAAAAAAGGAAAGAAAATCCGTGAAATACACAGGAAATACGAGCCTTTTGCTCTACGTTGCGGAGAAGTTCAAAAGGCCGGCAGGGAGATGAGAGATAATGTGAGCGCGGAGAGCGGTAGAGAAGTCCGAGAAGAGAGAGCATAGCAGATCAACATTGCGACGCAGACAAGATATCGAACGGTGGGCGGAGCATGTTAAGTTTGGTGGAGTCTGTCAAAGTCCTTAGCGTCTAGCGTCTTAGTAAGGCCGATGTCAGACTTTGCGAATCGCGCGATTCGTTACTAGCGCGATTCGCAACGTCTACCGTCTTAGTAACTCCTTTTTGATGTAAAGAAAGTGGCGCGACCTCTGCACTTGCGTACCTAGCACTTCTTTCCACTGTAAGGGCTTCTTAAGCGGGTCTGAGCCCGAAGTGTGCCTTTAAGTGCGCTGACAGTTCTAGTCCATAATGACGTTGTTACAATCGCATCGCCCTCCACGCATCATGATCACCGCCTTCATGTGGAAAAAATACGACGGGAAATCAAACCATGAAACGACCGTCCACCTTTTTCGGTATTCACTTCACAGAATCGCTACGGGAAATGAACTATGGCTCCGTGTGCCAAACACATTCCCCAAATCGTACACAGTACCGCTTTGAAAAAGCTTGGCACGCCTGAACGACCTTCCTGACGAGCGTGCTTTCCGGCGTCAGAAAGGTCGCGCTCATCATTTTGTGAATGCAACAATCATCAAAAAATACCTACATTATGAAAGGTAATCTATGTGACTTTGAACGAACGGCGGTCTTGATGGATCACCGGTACACTCGGAGGGTGAAAAAGGAGTGCGCATCTAACATCAGACATGTGTTCCAAATCGCAAAGAAACAGTGATGATGACGACTAAGTTTTCTAGTGCATTGTCATGGATTGACGACCGGTAGTTAATTCCGATGATGAGTTGGACAGGTGAACCAGCAAAATCGAATTTTGCTTTGGCACAAGTAATAGACGGGAGAGGTGGAGGGGGGGGGGAGGGATGAATAACGTGCACATTCATAAAGAGTAAGCGGACCAATGGTAGATTCCATTTGAAGTAACACCCCCAGATCGATTTGGCGGGGTAAAAGCGGTCGTTAGAAATCGTAGATCCCAAGTTGACTAGAAATTAAAAAAAAGAAACAAAGAAAACCGCCGATGAGGCACTCAAACAAAGACTCTCATCTCCTGTCTTCGAAATAATGTAGGGGTGTGCCCTGGACGAGTTGTTCACAAGCTAAACCGCCTTCCACGGGAATTATTGCGGCTTGGTGTCACCAAGAAATGGCTGCAAATACACAAAGAGATAACGATATTAAAACATTTACCCGACAACATGAATCAATCAAAATATTGGGCAGGCGTTACATCCACACGCAGCTACAGTTACACCCAATATCGCGTAATGACCTCAAGCCAATAGGCGATATGCCATGGCTATAAGTGGTGGACCCAGTAAACGATAGGCGGTCTGACGAGTTGGCGGGCCCATCCAAAAATATCATTAGCGGCTTCCCAAGGTTAGTTTTTGCTTCAGTGCCACTTCTTTTGTTTCCGACAAATTCTTAGGGCCGAATGTCAGACTTTGCGAATCGAGCGATCCGTTACAAGTGATTCGCTAGCGTCTGCGGTAGCGTCGTGTCGAGAATGGCTCGATTCGCTATACGCGACGCGACCGCGGACGCTTAGCGAATCGCTCGATTCGCAAAGTCTAACATCGACCCTACGCGTCTAGTCATTCCATTAGTAATCAAAATATGAACACATCTGGGGGTGTTGCTTTGAATGGAGTTAGTCGTGCGTTAGAGGATTTCATTAGGTCGGAAGGTTCGGCATTACGCATCTTGTCATTTCATTAGTAGTCAAATAAGTTTGGAGGTCGAAGAGGGGGGAACACACCTCAAGGCAGGCCCCCCCCCCCTCCCCCGGTGTGCCGAACGATGCGCGTTTCTTAGCAGGGGATATGCTCCTAACGGTTCAGCAGAGACGTAGCCGCACAGCCGCCCGCACCGTTTGGTTAACCTTTCGCCGTCGGACTCTAGCGGCGGACTCTAGCGGATTTGACAGAGACGCAGAGCAGAGCACTCGCACTGATGACGTCAGCACCGATGAGTCTCGCTACAACACGGAAATCCACGGGCCAAAAGGAGTCCCTCATTGGTTCTAGGCCGCTTTCCTTGGTTTTTTCACATCACTGATCACCTACGATTTCTAGTCGACAGCCTTTTCATCGTGATATCTCAATTCCGCATTTGAGTGAAGGTTCGTCACCATCACGGTTTCTTTCCTGGGACAAATGTGACGTTTGATCCGCACTACTTTTACGCCAGTTCACCCCCCCCCCCAAACATACAATCCAGTTACACTTACCAAAAGTTAAAAGCGACTTACCAATAGTTAGCTAAATCATTCAAAAGAGATCATCCAGAAGAAACTGAGAAACCTCCAAATTTCATGTCATTATTTAGGAATTGTTTTTAGAGGATGAGGTTTTCATTTTGAAAATATATGATCACGCTTGAGAAATTTATTTTACATTTATTCCAGTGACAAGGTGCTGAAATGGAATGGATGGGGCTATGCGGACTCATTTTTCAAGTTGGATCATGAAGGCGACGTCGTCATGATGGGAGACAGGTTGGAAATTCCTAATCACATTTGTAACATCGATTTGCCTTTAGTTTTCGTCGAACAATAATCTGGGCGGAGGGGCAAGGGGAGTGGGTAAGGGGTAGGGGTAAAGGCAGAGATGACTGGGGGTGGTCCGATCTTGATGACGTCACTGAACGTCATTGGTGGAAGGACGCTAAGAAGCGGTCCCAAGCCCACTTCCAATGGTCTAGTCCACCAATGGCATTCAATGACGTCATCAAACCGCACCGCCCCGCAGTCATAGTGATCGCTGCCTTTAAGGGTTAGCGACAAGTAGCGCTACCGGTGAACAAGCTTTAGATCTAATTCTGTTCTGAGCAGCAGTCCTAGGGTCAACCGCTGCGTTTGGCTGATTTCAAAATTCAAATTTTTACAGTCACCTCGTCGCCATGATGCGGAGGCTCATACAAGTCTCAACACGGTGCCCCTTGAGAGGGTTCACCGCCGGTACTCGACTAGGAGGGACTTGTCGCGCGGCAGAAGGCAGAGTACATCGACGAGGTTCGCACGCCTACTGGAGTGATTTCGCCGTCAAATTAAAAACTGATGGTGACATTGATACTCCTACATCGGCACTCACGCTCGCGATAGATCGTCCAAGCCAACAATGCCTTTTCTTGTCGCGCGACGCCGTGCCTTCCTGTTCGAAACAGAGTACCCGTTCCACGCATAAATGAGCCCTCCACCAATCACCGCCATTGACGGAGAGACACACTCTGACTGCGCTTTCAAATTTCCCTCAAATTTCTTGGGAGCGGGCGTTTTTGAGGGAGGGGTCGGCCCCGGGAATTGTTATCACGTTGAAAACGAAAGCTCTGTTTGTGGAATTGTTAGCAAAAGGATCGTTAAAGCACCACTCTCCTCTTCCTATAACAACGGAACTTTCACGTCCCACAGTAACGACCCCCTTGGGGTTTTCCTAATGGATGCCCTTGACCCTACCAACCCCGCCCCCGTTGCTGGCTTTCGCCTGTGCTTCAGTTACAACTTGCAGTACTGATAATGCCCATAATTTTTGAGACACATTAGACGCGTTCGTTTCAGGTATGAAGCATGCGGTCACAAGATGCCATATTTCCGTCCATGGTTTGAGGAGCATCTGGGGGTCGATTTGGATTATATGACCACCCAAGCAACGAAATCAGGCGACCATGATAATTCTTCTCCACCCAGGGAAAAACGACGGAGAATTTACGCACGGAGCTCGTCCGCCGGCCGACATTTCGTTTCAAACGAGCTCTGATCGCAGGCTGACAATTATGCGTCGTATACGAACCTCGGATGAGGCTGATGCGTGGTCATGGGCATACGGTAAGCGCAAGTACGGTAGCTGTTCACTGACTTTTGGGACGCCCATTTGGGCAGAAGGGCCTTCCGTGTGGTCCTTTGTGGTTATAGCCCGACTGGAGAAATAAATCACCTCATATGACTAAGCTGGTCACGTTCATTCAGCTGATAAGAGCTGTAGTTCACTGTCTTATCACCCGATAGCAGTCCTTCGCCTTCTAGGGAATGACATTTCATATTCACGGGGAAAGATAATTGAACTGAAATAACATCTAAAGCCAATCAATAAATCGATACGCATTTTCTAGGTGCATGATATCATCAATCTGCGTCAAGGGAAATTCCCACGGCTGCCTGATCTCGTCGTATGGCCACGAAGTGAACAAGATGTAATGAAGGTGAGTCGATTGTCTCATAAATGGCGATCAATCGATAGAGAATAACTATCTCTTTGCCCTTGAAATCAGCGAGGGTAAATGATGAGGGTAAAGCATACGGCATAATTAACCCTTCTTTGGGTTGCGCCACGCATTTACTTCCATTCAGAATCGTAGTGGCATTTGAATGCGATGTGGCCTACACTTGCGGGGGCCAGCCGATGTACAAGTCAGTGTTTTTATCCTCCCAGACAAGTCTGGTACCAATTAACCGACCCCGGAGGGATGGAAGGCTTGGTTGGCCCGGGCGACTCACGACCCAGGATTTGATCCCCGGACCGCTCGCGTGGTAAGCGCGCCACTTGCCACTACACCACTTCCGCCCATCACCCTTTTTTATCAACAAATTTTAGCTAGGTCATACCTTCAGGGCACCCATGGTCTTTTGGATACTGCAGCCAGTCAGCTGGAAGTTGTCTGATCTTCATGTAATCCAGTTTGGCCAGTAAAATAATTTTGAAAGCACTAGCCTAGTCTAACAATTACAGTACCTCCACAGAAGTTCTTTTCTGAGATGGCGGGGGTGGACCTGACCAAATTTGGCTGGTCCCCACCTGGGCTAAATCCTTCCACCTTTCTCTTTGGAGCAGTTCACCTCGCACTCTGCTGTACAGAGCTTATTCTGCCAAAAGGAATGGGACCCAGCAGGGTC